GTCGGTATACAGATAAATGTTACAGACATGGGAGTGTCATTCAGATAGGAGAGATTGTGGTCTAGTGGTTAGAAGGGACAGGGAATCGGGATTCCTGGGTTCTGTTCCTTGCTCTGTCACTCGTTTACTGCAAGGCTTTACTCAAGTGACTGCAGCTCAGTCTTGACATCTGTAATACAGTGATACTGCTCACCTATCATTGCAGGCTGTGTGAGGGTGAACTAATTAATGGTTGTAAAGCGCTCAGAGATCTCCAGTTGGAAGGTACTAGATAAGGATGAAATTCACCCAACTGCAGGGGGCCTTGCTTAAACCCTTTAAGTTCTAATGCCTGAATCCTGTTCATCTGTAATCCTAGCTGTTTCCATCCCTGGGCAGGGGAAAGAAGATAGGAGGATCCACTCAGTAACAGATCCTTGGATTCACCTCTACCCCATGCCTCCTGCTGGGCAGGGAGACTCAACAAAGTTTTGAATCCAGCCCCTCCCATTGCAGAGAGGAACTTCACTGGTTCTGCTGCAAGGGAGCTTCTGTGAAGGCAGGGGCAAAATTGGCCCTTAAGTACCTATAATTACTACTAATATTCTCTAGCTTATTCACTTTATTTGGATTCAAAATTGTCTAGGTCCAGTGTTGGGACTTGACTGACAGTGAAATCAGTGGGTGAAACTCACCCCTGTGCAGAGGGCCAGCACAAGCATTGTTTGGGGGGAGGGATAGCTCAGTGGTTTGAGCATTGGCCTGCTAAACCCAGGGTTGTGAGTTCAATCCTTGAGGGGGCCACTTAGGGATCTGGGACAAAAATCAGTACTTGGTCCTGCTAGTGAGGGCAGGGGGCTGGACTTCGATGACCTTTCAAGGTCCCTTCCAGCTCTAGGAGGAGATAGGGTAGCTGGTGGTGCAGCTACCTCTATGATTGCACAATTCTCTAAGGTTGTTATTATTAAGAGTTTGTAGAAGTTTGCTGATCACTTTGTAGAAGTAGGATTTGATATTTGTATTAGAGGTTATAATGATTGACCGTTATAATAATGTAGTATGTATTAATGTATGATCTGATCATCCTGTCAGCCACCCTTCTTGAATAGAAAAAAGGAGTGACCCTCAGGGGCATTGATAGAAACACATCTGACAGACTCCTAGGCTAGGTCTACACTACCCGCCTGAATCGGCGGGTAGAAATCGACCCCTCCGGGGGCGGGTTTTTTCCGCTCCTCCCGGGGG